TAAGAGGTGTTATTTATCATCAGCTCGGCTGAGGTTCTGTCACATGTCCACGGCCTTGGCAAAAGGAGGGGTGAGGAAACAGACAGAGCGTCTTTGTTTTTCCTAAACATGCCAGCAGGAGTTGACATAGTCCACTTTCAAGGCCACAGTTTGGGTCAGGCAGAACTCGTGAATTGCTGTTTCTGCCTTTTTTTAAAGTCTCGCTGGTACAATTCTCTGATGATGACTCCAAACACCTGAATTGATTCCTTATGCTGAAAGTTGAGCTCACATCTTCTCCAAGATTATTCCCAACCATTCGTGTGTGCTGCTAGAGAGTTCACAGTCCTGATAACAGCTGCTCCAGCTCTGACGCAGCTTCACATAATTCAGTCTGAGTGCTGCCAAGCTTCAACACATCCACACAAATTTGTCGACAATCCAGATTTCACCAACCCAAACAGCAAAAAAAAAAAAACAGTTATCATCATGAATCCAATTTGTTTCTGTCGAGGTAAGAGGGTCCTGTCGGAAAAAGTTGATCAATTTTGTTGAGAGACCAGGTGAACAAAAATGTTTGAATTAGGAAGGTATGCAGGAAAGAAAGAGGCTCTTTAAAGGGTTCACAAGACGAAAGAGAGCAAGCAGGGAAGCGGGTGGACGGAACAGAAGAGTGCACGTCTGTCTTCACCGGAGCACAGAGAGAGAAAAAAAGAAGACTTAGTTTGTTGTGGCTCCTCGGACTGAAGAAGTCTTTTGGATGAAAGATGAAACATTCACTCCTCGTAGGGAGAGTTTCAACCTAAAGAAAATGTCCAGAGGACCTAACTTAACTTTGCTGGTTTTAATATACAGTATGAATTATCCTGATGCATGCTCAATAATCCAGGTAGAAAAATCCAAAAAAGTTCAATCTGGTCCTCTGGACATTCAAAAAAACAAAACAAAGCAAATAACTATAGAAACGTTTCGTCTCTCATCCAAGAGACTTCCTCAGTCTGAGGTGCTGTTTTCATCTCAGTCTCTTAAATAGCACCTTCTCAGAGTGGATCAACCAGTTTGCTGCTGACAACCAAAACCAGCTGATCACATGCTCAAGAAGGACCATCAGCCTAACAATGGATCATTAGCACACTGATGGCTGTTTACTATTCACAGAGGGTTGAGTGATACTAGCAATCACAGCATTGTAAGAGGGGGACAGTTGAACCCGGAGGCCTCCACCCCTGTTTAATGATGGACGGTTTCTTTTCACAAAGATGGCCTCCTTTACTCCTCTCTCAAACCATCGTTCCTCTCTGTCCAGGATGTGAACATCTTCATCCTTGAAAGAGTGACCGCTGGCCTGGAGATGAGTGTAGACCGCAGAATCCTGGCCTGATGATGTTGATCTTCTGTGCTGGGCCATCCTTTTGGCCAGTGGCTGTTTAGTTTCCCCAATGTAAGACTGATCACAGCCCTCCTGACACTGAACAGCATACACAACATTACTCTGTTTGTGCCGGGGCACTGGATCTTTGGGATGAACCAGTGTTTGCCGTAATGTATTTTGGGGTTTAAAAGCCACTGGGACATTATGTTTAGAAAATAAACGTCTCAGTTTCTCTGATACTCCCTCAACATACGGAATGACCACTGGTCTGGGTCTGGGTTCTTCCTTTTCACCTGATGGCTGACTGGAGTCCTGTTTGGGTTTCTTCTCTGCTTTCAGGAAGGCCCAGTTAGGATATCCACATTGCTCTAGAGCCTGTTTTGTGTAGGATTTCTCCTTCTGCCTGGCTCCCGAGTTAGTGGGGATGCTGTCTGCTCTGTGATACAGAGTCCTGATGACTCCTAACTTGTGCTGCAAAGGGTGATGGGAGTCAAACTGCAAATATTGGTCTGTGTGGGTGGGTTTGCGGTACACCTCAGTTTGCAAATGTCCTCTGTCAGAGACTGAGACCTCACAGTCCAAGAAAGCCAATTTGCCATTTTTTACATCTTCTCGTGTGAACTTGATGTATTTATCCACA